ATGTAATTTATATGTACACAATAATTGACTAATCATCTAGTAACAATGCATACACTCGGGAAGATTTCATGTTGACCTTTCCTCTAGATTTGAGATTATATCAGAAATGACTTGCTTTTGAAATTATGCTTCTTGTCCTAACTAAGCAAGGACCACAACAGCAAATGTGATTGTAAATCCTGGATTTTACACAGCATATCTTAAGTTAAGACCATAAAAAGCAAAACCACCAGCCCTGTTGGAACGTAAATCATATTACTAACAGCGACAACAATTTTTACGAGTGAATGCTTCGAAGCACGATAAATTGTCATATTCATTCCATGAAGAAAAATGCTGGTCCCTCCTCTACATAGTAAATTTCTTAATGATGACATTTTAAAAAATTCTATTCTCTGAATATAAATATTTCTCAGAAAACCTTACAAAACATCAAGGAACAGAGATACACATGTTACTAAGGAGCAGCTTAGCCAAGTTTTTTCTTAAAATTTAATAATAAACCACAGAAGAAGGAGGCAATTAGAAAATGTGATTTAGCTATCATTAATCTACATCAAAGGATTATAATGATGTACATTGTGTGCCTTTCAAATTATTCTCTATTATAGGTTTCACAACAGAAGTTGAGAAATCTCTTTGACAAACTAGTCCCTTATTAAAAATCAAAGGAAAGTACTTTGCTACCATCTGTGCAACATTAACGCCTTCACTGAAGAATGATTATTTTGTAAGTTAAGAAGTATTCAGTTCCATTTAAAAAAAAAAACAACAGCAACACTACTATTCAAATGTTCATCTTCATCTATTATAAAAAAGTCATAACATATATGAAACACTATGCAATTCGCTCCAATAAGACAAGCATCTCTCTGGAAACCAGGAAACAGAAAAGGAAACTGTGATGCAATGAAAGCATAATCAAGGTGCTTTTTCTTTTTTTTTTTAACTGCATCACCACCAACACATTCTTCACAGAGCCTGACCAGCACCTGCAAGGTCTGATTTAATATGATGGGATGCAATATAAAATATAAACTTTTAAATTTAACTCTATTAGTAGAAAACAGATTATGTTATAAAGAATAAGGTAAAATTATCCATAAATGGTTGTCAGAAAAATTTGTGACAGACAATCTTTTCTCTTTAAAGTACACTGAAGTGAGGAAAATCTGTTTGAGTATTTAGAAGCTGATTTTAAAAAGTATTACTATAAATCAGGCTTCCTTATCTCCAGTATACCATATACCATGTCCATGATTTGATAAGTTCTTCCTAATTACCCACCTTAATTATAGTAATTATATATTTTATAGTAAATGCAAGGAACAAGGTTCATTTGAAAGGTAAATTGTGAACTACAGTGTTTAAAAAAAAGAGAGATGTGGGAGATATCCAACCATCCTGCTTAATTCATCATCCTCAACACCCATTTAACAGAACCATATTATTTTTAAGCCAGACCTTAATTTAATATCTTTATTTTATGAGAGCCATTTCCAATTTCCTCATTATAAAGAGGAGAAACCATTATTTGTCCCCAACTGGTTGTACCTATTCACCTAGTAGTACCCGTTATACCGCTGTAGTTTTACAAGTACTTGCTACATAAACTAACATGAATTACTACAGCAAATACTGAATGCGCCATAAAGACAGCGCAACACTCTCCAACTCAAATGCCCTTTGAGACTGGTTTGCTTTGAGGCCCTCAGAGGAAAAGCTGATGACAACGCAACTGGTAAGCAGACAAGGCTCTGCACCATGTAATTTGCAGATCTGGACAGAGATTTTTATTTCAATATGCTTATTCTCTAGAATAAGAACTCTCAGCTTCTATAAAAGGAGCAAAGGAGGATGTTACCATTAGAAAATGAATGGTTGAAACCGAACGCTAAGAATTTGTTTTAAAACTGCTTTAATTAAGTTTAGTCTTCGGGATAGGAATTAATCCTTAGCACTGCCAATTTGTCCCAATTCCACAAATATAATGAACACCTACACTTCTCACAAAAACTTTGAGCTAAATGATAAACAAGAAACTTACAGTGTGACCTCCCTGCATAACCTAAGTCCTCGATGTCCTCACCCACAGAATAAGGGATTCAAGATGACCTTCCTGCTCCTAAAATTCTGATTATACGTTATCCAAACTGAAATGTCAATTCATCTTAAAATAAGTAATGTTGGGGGTGCCTGGATGGCTCAGTTGTTAAGTGTCTGCCTTGGGCTCAGGTCATGACCCCAGGTCCTGGGATACAGTCCCACATCAGGCTCCCAGCTCAGAGGGGAGCCTGCTTCTCCCTCTCCTCCTTCCTCTGCTTGTGTCCCCTCTCTGCTCTCTTTCTCTCTAATAAATAAATAAAATCTTAAAAATAATAATAATAATGTTGAAGCCAGAACTGCTAAAGTCTGTAAGGACAAAAGTATTTGTTACTAACTATAATGAGGAAAATGAACACAAAATGGCTTTCGAAAAATTAATCACTGAATTCCCTCCCCAAACTCCACATCTATTTTTTGTTTTGTTTTGTTTTGTTTTTTAAGATTTTATTTATTTATTTTTTTTAGAGAGAGCAAGCACAAGCAGGGAGGCGGCAGGCAGAGGTAGAGGAAGAATGGGATCATGGGATCATGACCTGAGCCGAAGGCAGCCACTTAACTGACTGAGCCACTCAGGCGTCCCACCACATCTATTTTTAGATGAGAAAGACAGCATTCTACAAGGCCTCAGGCCCCACACAAAATCTTGTTCTAAACTCAATGATTCTCCTAAATATCTTTAGTAATGATGAAATGTGGATGCATTTCATAGTCCGAGTCCACAAAATATAAATACCATACTAAAAATTCAAACATCACTGACCACAATAAAATTTCTGAAAAAGTTCCCTAGCATGTTCTTCTCTGTGCTCCAAAGTACCATATCGGTACCCCATTATGCCATAATTCACTACCCATCAAGAGTTACCCTATTTCCTTTTTATCAGCATTAAAAATGTCACTTAAAAAAAATGTCACATTACTTGTCACAGGTTAAACTGTGTTCCTCACAAATTCATATATCCAAGACCTACTCCTAGTACCTGACAATGTGACTTTATTTTTGGAAACAGAGTCATTACTGATATAATTAGTAAAAATGAGTAGAGTGGGTGGGACTTAATAAATCAATATGACTGATATCCTTATAAAAAGGGGAAATTTGGCACAAACAAATACAAGCAGAACACCACGGGGACACAAAGACAAACCAAGCAGAGAGGCCCTTCCCTCACAGACATCCTTCCCTCACAGACCTTGAAAGCACCAACTGTACCAACACCTCAGTATAAAATCCCTAGACTCCACAACTGTGAGACAATAAACTTGCATTTTTTAAGCCACCCAGTTTGTTACTGCAGCCCAAGCAAGCTAATATATTACTACGCAGCAACTGGAGAAGAATCAAATCAAAACATACTGACAGAACTCTCAGAGTAGCACCCCAAATGTCAACGCATGGCCAACATTTCTAATATACCACACGTCTTTAAGAATCTGATGCAAGCCATTTTCACACAGACGTGAACATTTTTTATGCTGTACACTTCAATCAAGTAGCTCAGTTGGTGGAGCAAGTGATTCTTACTCTTGATCCTGGAGTTGTAAGTTTGAGCCCCATACTAGGTGTGCAAGTGACTTAAAAATAAAAAATCTTAATAAAGAAAAAAAAAAGTTCAATCCTACCTCTCCACCCCCAACATGCCAAAGATGCATGAACTCTCTTTAGTCAATGGTATTTGTATGGGGGGGGGGGGGCGGCGCAGATCATATACTGAACTTCTTTAATTAGAAAATAAACACTACCACCCCTACCTCTGAGTAAAAAGGAAAATACAGATGAATAATGTAACTATTCCTCTTTGTGCTCTTAAAAGGATTTACAACACGTATTATATTTTCAAAAAGGTAAGTATTTTTTGAACTCTGTGTGTGTATAATTACACCTGAGAAGTAAATAAAACTTTATCACCATAGCACATTTTATCCTGAAAGAACAGAGTCTAATACGATGATCAGATGAAAAAAACTTTTCACAGGTAGACTATATAATTTAAATTCTTCTTAAAAATATGGTCAATCTGGTCAGATCTGGTCAATAAGACTCAAAGTATTTGTCTTGTTTATTTTGTCTGATCAACTTCACCTTTAGTAGCTGACAATAACACATCGTGTCAAACATGTAAGATCAAAACATTTAAAAACAGAAAATTCAGCCATTTTATATAAACAATATCAATCATTCACAGCATCCTGCCAGTCAAGAAAAGGTTATCCTATAGACATAAGCAAAATGACATGCTCTGGTCAATAAAAGGGTAATTCTAACATTTAATTATGAAGACTCAAAATGCTTTACTTTCTTTCCCCAGATAATTAGTTCTCAGCAGAAAGCACAATGGGAAGATACATAGTTAATACAGAGTCTAAGAACAATTTGAAAAAATTTAACCCCCATTTAAATAGAAAAGAAAATCAATATTAGATTTTTGCTCTTTCAAAATGTGCTCATCTAATTAATTCAGTCTGGAAAAGGGATGCATGGAAAGTTGTATTCTATCATGTAAAAGTGTATTTAAGTGAATTTAAAGAAATTTCTTTTCCATATATGTTACCCAGAAATTACTGTAACTGTAATTCTTAGAGTTGTATAACTATAAAAACAGGCAATGCAGGTGGTGAAAGTGTCTGGACTAACACTCAGAAGAAATGGGCTCTGTGTCTCCTGCTTCTGGTACTAACTACACAAGTGACATTAGGCAAGATCATTTAACCTCTCCAGACCTCAGTTTCTCTAAGTTATCTCGAAGTTATCTGTCACTTCTCAAAATAACTGTAACTGTAAATCTTAAAATCTGAAATATGTCATCAGAATTCTTGATAGATGTTTACATATTTTATATGATCAATATGAATTCATCAGCTATTTAAGGAAGAGAGTCAGTGATATTTCTCACCTGAAAGCTTATCGTCATGTAGCAAATTCCGAAGCTTACTACAAAGCTGGATCATGCTGTCCAATTGTCTATTTATCTTCACATCTTGTATCCAGGCTGGGGTGTAACACACTGGACATCCGGTTCCAATGCAGTCACTTACACAATTACTTTAAAAAAGGTTAAAAGAAAAAAATATATATATATGTAACATGTACATCTATATATCTCAATGCATTCAGCAGAATCTCAATTCCAAAATATAAGCATAAACAGACTTTGAACAGAGGTAAATGAAGCAGAAGTTGTTTTAACAAGCAATGGGCAAACATAAAATATTTTTTAAAATAATGTTTCTGAAAGAGTCTAATACACAACCTAAATCTAAAGTTCCTTAGGAAAATTAATATTAAGAGGCTTTAATTAGCCAGACGTTAGTCTGCATAATTTTTCATGCAAATAAATCTATAAATCTATAGCTTCTATAGGGTAAGAGTACAGAAAGGGACATAAATAAACACATTTACTACCAAATGCATAACAGCCATGCATCTCAACCTTTCGTATCCTAAATCTTAACACTGTGCTTCATGGAACATTACTGCAAAGACACCAGGAAAGGTATTTTTTGTTTTGTTACCGACAAGTGTCTAAAGGCTTTAATGTGATTTCTGAGAAAGATACCTGGTTCTTTCAGACACTTTTATAGCCTGTAGACTCAATTAAATTACCACAGGTTATGTGCCTAGTAGTTAAATCTCAAATCCCTTGCATAGCTGAAGATATACATAAACTCTTGTTAAAAAAAAAAAAAAAAAGAATCGGGAGTGGGGTTCATAATCCCCCCTCCAAAGCTTATCTGTGGATTCAGAAATAAAAAACCTAAAAATCCACTCCTTAGCCTCACCAGAGGAACTCCAGCAAGACTGGGAGCCTAACAGTGATGAAAGCCACATCTCCCAGAAACACCACATTCCTTTCCATGGGACCTACTCATTTGTAGGCACAGAGGATTCTTCTAATATAAGTCCCTTCCAGAAAAAGCCTGTGGCATTTCTACTCCGCATCTTAGATTCTGGCATAATTCTGATGCAAAGTAACATCAATAAATGTTATAGAACAAATCTGTAAACCACAATAGAGCTAGGAGCGATTGCACTCAATAAATGTCAAATTTCTTTCCTTTTTTTTTTTTTTTTTTTTGGAGAGTGTGTGCAAGGGGCTGCTATGGGCAGACAGAGAGGGAAAGAGAATCTTAAGCAGACTCCACACTCACGGGGCTCAATCTTACAACCCTGAAATCATGAAATGTCAATCTTCTATAGCAAATAAAGGAACTTAGAGTTTCTTTGCTTGTAGTTACAAACTCTTAACTTGAAACCCCACATATAAAAAGGGAAACTGATTCCACAAAGGATTTAACAGTTACAATCCACTTGTTAAGAATCACTACCTTATTTACAGATGAAGAAAATGAGATTCAGTTAGGTAAGACACTTAACCTACTACCAGTCTGGTACCCAGATCAGTCTATTTTATATATTCTATAATGTTCATCTTTCAACTGTTCTCAAATTATTTTGTAAACATAAATCTAGAATTCTGGGGACAGATGTCATTTCTCAGTAGATCTGTATAACTCAGTAAGTCAATATTTTCCAGATGACCAAAGCATGACATCAGAAAATCCTGCTGGGTAAAAGACCCATTCAAAGCACAGGATAAACAAGTGAAATTTAATGTAACAGATACCAAAAACTCACGTTATCCTTTTAGATTCCACAAAGTAACAAATCTAAAGAAACAAGCACTTGCCAAATAATGGTGTAGTATCAAAGAACATCCACAATTACCTGAAAAAACTATTTAAACATCCTTCTTCTTTCTAGTTACACACATATATAATACAAGATTTTCCTCACATGCTGCAATCAAAAGAATGTATCACAACAGGTTGATTACATAAGCAGGTATGAGAATCTATTGTCTTCTATACAGCAAAACAGTAAAGAGATTCGCATAAATAGAAGTGTCACCCTTCTCACTAGTTTTTCTTTGGTTTATGGTTATTTTTCCTTAAAAAAGTGTTACTTATGTAACTATGTAAAGAGTTTATTATTGCTACTTTTAACTGAATATATTTTTTAAATGTTTCGGTTTCACACAGCAAATATAAAACTGCTCTGGGGTCCTCAATTTTTAAGGGTGTAAAACAATCCAAAGCCAAAAAGTTTGCCTATTCTGCCTTAAGTTTTAAATAATTTCTATCTTAAAAAGAATACATAGACTATTTTTATCAGGGATTGGCAGAAAAGTACCTTGAAACTACCACAACGTTGTCAATGCCTAAAGATCAGTGCCCCTCCAACCCGCACACCCCCACCTCTATGCTTCAGCTAGATTGGTATATATCAAACCATCTTTTAAAACTGCATGATATTTATAGCATTGCTCAACAGTTTTACACAGCTTCAAATCTGCAAAGACTACAGTTTCCCTAATTCTTGGCATCACATAATCAAAATGAACCAAAATTGCACTGAATCTATTCTTTCCTGTGTTCAGGTCATATAGAGATGACGACATTCTCTTAAGATGTTCTCATGCCTATATTAATCTTTCACTGAACATTTTAAGTCACAGACCCTTTTAGAACCCAATAAAGGCACAGATCTCTCTCACATTCAACAAACACACACACACATACACACACTCTACCTACAATTTCATGGAGTTTGTTATGCTCCAGCAGATTTGTCACTGATATATTATATACAGTGAATCCATCAGCTAGAACAAAATCAATCTGCTTACTAGCAAGTGAGGACAGGAATGGGGCATCATTTAATAAGGGGATTAAATGATTAAAAGAGCTCATGGGAGCTCTTTTGGAGAAGGTGACATACGAGCTAAAATATAACTGATGAAAAGTCAACCTCACAAAAATTTAGCAGTACATTCTAGATGGAAGAAATAGCAAGTGCAAAAGTCCTGGGGCAGTTGTAAACTCAGTATGTTTAATGAACTAAAAAGAGAAGATGGCTGGAACAGGGTGAGCTAGCAGGAAGTGTAGTTAGAGAGGCAGGTAGGAATTGGGTCCTGTACAGGTTCTTCCAAACTTTAGAGCAAAGAGTGTGGATTTTATTCTAACTGTAATAGAAGCCACTGGAGGATTTTAAGGAGGGTAATGATATGGATGTGATTTATATTTTTAAAAGACCACTGATAAGAATGCAGAAAATGGGGAAGGGGACCAGTTATGAACTTAGGACAACACTCTGAGGAGAGATAATAGGATAGTGGTTTGGACCAAAGTGTTAACAGTAGTAAATATGGAGAAAAGTGAGGAAAAATTCAAGATTCAAGACACATTTTGAGATGGAAGTGACAGAACTTAATAAGGTGGTAAGGAAGAAAAGAGCAATTGGGTATTACTTGTGGTTTTTGCCTGGAGTAACTCTGCAATCAGTGGTACCCTTTATGGGCACGAAGATCACCGAGATAGGCACAGTAGAAGGGGTCAGTGTCCAACAGACATGCTCTGCACATGTCAAGTCTGAAATCCCTTGTCATCCTCCAAATGGAGTTATCAGGTAGGTAACAGGTACTATTTCCTATCCCACCCTCCAGCTGGATATGTCCCATATATCAGATCCACGTTTCCAGAAAGAAAATTGCGATCCCAAGCGTAACTGCTTCCCACACATCCCCAGCCCGCGGCAGTCACACAGTAAATTATTTTCATATTGCTTAAACTTCACATCGCAGTTGCTCATGCCAGACAGTCACACAGTCGTAACTGAAATCATGAAAAAACTACTCAAAGGAGGCTATATTAACCCTGTCTCACAATTAAACTAAGATATTTGGTCCTTGAATTTATTTCTCCAAATAAGTAATAGAATGAAATGAAAATTGAGTATTCTAATCTATAAACCAGAGCTTTCCTACTAGAACATGGATATAACTTCATAGTAACTGTTATGGCTTGAACTGTGTCCCCCAAAAAGATGTTGAAGTCTTAATGCCCAGTACCCAAGAATGTGATCTTGTTTGGAAACAGTATCTTTCTAGATGATCAAATTAACATGAGATCATCAAGGTGAGGCTTAATCTAACATAACTAGCATTCTTACAGAAAGGGGAAGTTTGGACACAGGGACAAACATACACACAAGAGAGAAGCCGTGTGAACATGAAGGTGAAAATCAGAGTGATAGACCTACAAGCCAAGGAATGCCAAAGACTGACAGAAGACAAAGATTCTCCACCAGGAGGTAGAAGACAATCACAGAACAAAGTCTTCTTCACAGCCCTGCCTGTCACCTTGCTCTCAGACTTCTAGCCTCCCAAACTGTGAGACAATAAACCGGTCATTCAAAAGCACCCAGTCTTTGATACTTTGTTACAGCAGCCCTAGAAAACCAACCCAATAACTACAAGAATTAGATTTTCGTAAGTTGGAAAGTCTAGACTCAAAAGTAACTGGAAGGAAAAAAGAGACATACTTCAAACACACAATAGGTTTTCCTCCCCAAGCTTTGCCAAGTACTTAGTAAGCTTGGCAACTTTGGACAAGCCATCCCCTTTGACTTCTGATGCTCTTATTTGTAAATGAAGACAGTTATAAGAATCAAAATGAGCAAATGTACAGTGAGCGATCTGCAGTTTACGAGAGCTACATACACATAACGTAATGTTATTAATATGATTACATGATGATGACCTAGTAAAAACTATAGTTATACTAAGTATCAAACCATAATTACTTACCTACAGAAGATGTGCTCACACCCCCCTAAACACACAGGCTCCCTCAGAATATGAGTGCTGTTTGAAGAAAGGAAAACAATCAAGACTTAGGTCATTGTTAGATAAACATTTTATACCCAACATTTCATAAATCCAGTGACTTAGATCATTGTTAGATAAACATTTTACAGCCAACATTTCATAAATTCAAGGCCTAACACTAGCATATTTCTCTTCCTCAAAGCAGAAGGATGTATTTATTTGAAAGGCTGTTGGTACCCGATTAAATACTGTATCATCACACATCTGCTGGACTCAAATAGCTACTACCAAACTCAGTACAGAGTGTAACATTTTTTATAATGCACATACTGGAAATCACAGAAGCAACTTTGTGACAGTATCTCTATACCTCCTACAGGCAAAACCAGCCACTGGCTGCTTCTTTCAACTACCAAGATATACCTTCACTTAATGATTCAAAGTACAGACCATACATTTCAAAGTAAGGCTTAAAAATAGAATGACCATATATTATGCATATGAGAACATTTCTGAGAGTGAAAGGGCATGATAATTGAATAGGACACTGGCACCCAGGTATAAATCAGGGCTGACCCAGGAAAATCAGGACATCTGATCACTCTGACCCTAAGAATTCATGGTTTCCCATATAAATACAACGGTTTCTGGCTATTGTTAAGTGGCCATTTACATTTCATCAATGCCTTATCAAAAATACAGCCATTCTTTCAGTTTACAGTTGGCTGACTGTTTCGTACTTTAAGCAACCGCAAATAGGAATCTTGAGGCTGACATCGTGCAGACTGAATGAGATTCATGGCATTGGGGGAAGAGAGACAGAAATACAATTATTATCCATCAAAATACCTGTTACCTTTGATAAGCTTCCGAAAGTAACAGTACTTATTAATAAACACGTCAAGTCATTATTTTCAGAGGGCATAATGCAGTGAGAGCAAACAGGAAAAACAAAGCTCTCAAAGGATGTATATTTTTTGTGCTTGGTTTATTACACTAACCTTAGGACCTTAAGGTATTTACACCATTATTATCCAATTACCTCTGTACATATTACCACATATCAATAAAAACAATTTTCCACATTTCTTGAAAGATCAAAAGCATCGCGCTGCACATTTTAATAGATACGGACATTAAAGTGAAATTGAGCTTTCAGAATGAATGCTAAAAACAGAGTACACACCTACAACATTATCCTCAAGATACCAAAAATGGTGTTCACTGACATTATAAAACCCATTACTTTTTTAAAACTCACAATATCTGATTTTTCTATCACACTACACAGATCACAGCGCTAAAAATATGACTTGTGACGTGCCAGCCACTTTTGTGATTCTGGCAAATTAAGATGATCTCTGCTCCAACGATCATGCTCCTCTTGCAATTTTTGTTCATGATCTCATCTACCAAACCTCATCTCTTATCTCCTAATCAAGTGTGTTGAATTCTACTTCATTACAAGCTCTGCTCTACGGATCTCAGAAGTGGTGGTATTTCACCTCCCCCATCATAATAATTCCCTGTATCTCTTCATTCCATCACTCCAACCAAACCTCCACCTTCAGGTGGCTCTCCACCTTGAGAGAGACCACCATTCAGGTCACTAGCTCCTTGGATTCCCTAGGCCACACCTTCATCACCACCCTATTTCCACTGACCTCTTAGACACTCATAGATGCCAATCTATAGTGCCAGATAGGCCCCGCTCATTCCTCTCCTAATCTCAGGCTATGAATAACAACTGTACAAAGACAGAGAGGCAGGAGTGCCTAGGTGGTTCAGGCAGTTAAGCACTGGCCTTGATCTCAGCTCAAGTCACGATCTCAAGGTCGTGAGATGGAGATCAGCCTTGGGTCTAATGCAGAGTCAACTTGGGATTCTCTCCCCCACTCCCTCCCTCTGCCCCCTCCCCTTGCTCGCTCTCAAGGAAAAAAAAAAAGAGAGATATATGAATGGATCTCTATGAATTTAGTTGGTAGTTTCTTCACCTTTGTCTCTCTACCAAAGTAGCACATTTTATTTTTGGTGAGTAAACAAATGAATAAATGCTATTTGAAACAACCTCCATGCTCTGAAATTCCATTAACGTGACTGGAGACGAACAGTGTGTTTCACCACCTGAACCCATTCCTACCTCTTCAGCCATAATCCTATCCTCCCTTCAGGCTCAGAGGAAAAGATTTCCTGCAGTCACTCTTCCTTCTTAAAATGCGCTGCTCGATCTCTCCCTAGATCCCTTATCTTCTGTCTCCTAAAGTGGTCTATTCTCATCATTATAGCCACCTTTCTTCTTCCATCTGCCTAAACATGCACAAGTAGGCATTCTCTCCTCCACCTTAAAAAACAGCACTTTTAGATCCTGCCTCTCACTCTACCTCCAGCCCCCGCTCTTGCCGACAGATGGAAGGTCCTAGCGGAGGGCTCCACAGTGTTCACTCCGTCTCCTTACCTCCCCAGCTTTAAATCCCGACAATGCTGAACCTATTCCCCAAAAGCACTTTTAGGCCTCATTCTCCCTCCCCCTTCTGTAAAGGAAACTGACCTCAACTTTCTCCTTGAAACCTTATCTTCTGTTGAGTCTTAATTTTCTTAGAGCACATTTATCTGCCTATTTTAGCATTTCGTTAAGTGCTTCTTTCCTGTCTCTCCATTGTAGGCTTTTCCCCATAACACAGTCCACAGACTTTTGGCTTTCTATCATAGTACTCTACACTCAATGCCTTGATTCTGTTTCTAAACTTAAATGTCCTTTCAAAGATGACTCTGAACCTTTTATCTATGGCTCCGACCCTTCCCCTAGCAATGAGATGCTACAGTTTGATTAGCAATGAATCTAGTATCTATGAATAACTGATCAACTGTACTGATTATTCTAATTAGTGAGCGAGAATATATTTTGTTGCTGTTAACAGATAAAGAACAACACTGGAGAAGTGATGGAGAAGTATGCGCCCGCGAGCACAAGGGAAGGAGCAGGGACAGGGGTGTTATAACCAAGCCTGGGCGGGGACCATGTCAAGTCAAAAGAACAGTAACGTACAGCTCAGAAGCACAGATACAGAGGGTGGCAATGATCTACATAAAAGGCAGGCTTTCTGACAATGCCTAGAGCTTGCTTAGCTGAGAAGATACTTCTATTACAACCAGACAATATCTATCAAAATTTTAAATGCACTATTTTCAATTCAACTTTTCCCCTGCCAGGAATTTATCCTTTAGAGATACTCAGATGCTTGCAAAACTGAAACTTCAAAACATCAAAGCTATCTACTTAGGATACCAAGAGAGTCCAGAGATTAAGAAATAATAAAACTAAAATGTCATAAATGTATACACACATATATATATGTGCGTATGTATATATATATATATTTTTTTTAATTTTTTTAAGGATTCAGAAGAGCATAAGACATCTCAAGGGTAACAACAAGGGATGCCTGGCCTTCAAAATAATGACTTAAAATTATTTTGTACTACAAATTCTAACCGAGTCATCTTCCATAGTAGAAAGTTAATAGATAATAAGAAAACCATCTTTTAGCGTAAGAAGTTAGAAAGTGGATAAATAAATGTCTAAATGGAAAAATTCAAGAAGTAGCAATAGAAACATGTCATTGGGAAATGTAGATGTATATCTTGAAGAACAAAGAGATAAAAGAGGCTGTTTCTAAAGTATAGATGAAGCAAAAGAATGTTTTCATTGCCTTTGCTTTATTGACTTTGTTGACTGTGTTCATGGATAATTTTAATAAAAATTTTTAAAATGTAAAGGCCGATGGAAAAGGATATTCACTCTAGCACAGATTATAGCAAAAGACCAAAAACAATCTAAATTTTAATCAACAAGAAAATGTTACATGTGTCATGATACATCTCCTGATACCTGGCATCTTCTCAGCTGAGGCATATGCTGCTTATATAAATACAGATGACCTCTTATTAAAAGATATACAAAAAATTTATCATAGTGGGTCCTTAAAGAAAAGGATTTGGGGGGCGCCTAGGTGGCTCAGTCATTAGGCATCTGCCTTAGGCTCAGGTCATGATTCCAGGGTCCTGGGATCGAGCCCCACATCAGGCTCCCTGCTCAGCGGGAAGCCTGCTTCTCCCTCTCCTGCTCCCCCTGCTTGTGTCCCCTCTCTTGCTGTGTCTCTCTCTGTCAAATAAATAAATATTTTTTAAAAAAATTAAAAAAAAAAAAAGAAAGAAAAGGACTGGGGCTCACCTGCCATTCACTTATTTAATGACCACATACCTTGATATTTTAACGCATGTATCCCTTTCAATTTTTAAAAACTTAATATTAAGAAGTTCTTCACAACCCAGTGACTCCAAAGCAGGCAACCTTTTCTTATACTGCTCCTCCACAAAAACTCTGCTCTCAACTCTGCTCTCTGTAACATTTCTCAAGTAATACCCAATGTCCAAAACCAAGCTCAGGATCGCTGAGACTACTCTCCCCAGCCTAGAATACCCTTCCTCCCTTCCACCCCCAAAACTATTCAAGCCCAACACATCCAAATACTATGCAGGATGATATAATAAAAACAACACTAAACAAAGTTTAGGCACAGAAATTCTTGCATTTCAATTTCTACAACATCACCTATGCAAAATCTGTACCTTGTGCCAGATGTGTAAGGACACAATGTTGTCTGCAACACAATCTGTATATTAAGAGGCTTATAATTGAACAAGGTGATTTTATAAGCAAAGTTAGTATATGACTTCAGAAATGTACGAAATACTCTATAAAGTTCCAGAGAGATGGCATCTCGTTGGAGCTCTGGAAATCAATGCTGAAAGAGAAATATTTTCTCTTTTATCTGCTTGATTCCCTATTTTCCCTGCTAGTCTCCAAATAGACTATAGCCCTACAAACAAGAAATCTGGACTTTTATTTTTTCTGAGCTCCCCAACCACACTATTACCTCCCTAGCATGGTGCTATATGAACAGCAGAATTTCGATAAATCCTTAGTGAATGAAGCAAATGGAAAACTACATGCAAAAATGAATTTATATTAACAA